ACATCCTTTTGGCGGGGTGCTGCCACCTTCCCCCCCGCCGCCGCCGCTGACCTCGCCCCTCGCCCATCCCCACTGCTGCCACCGCCCTCGCCACCCCCCCCAGGGCGAGCTCATGAACTTACCTTCCCTGTGGGCTGGGGCTGCTGCCGGCGTCGGTGAGTGCGACTGTGGGAATCACACTGGCTGGCTAAGGGTGGCGGGGGCGAATCAGCAATGGGTGCAGGCGCAGCAGCCAGTGGACCAATGGGCGCACTGTGTGTCAGTTGGGGCGGGCAGGACGGGCGCATGGCAAGCAGCATGCACGCCACGGCAGCAAGCTAGACTAGCAGGGAGCGGCTTTGGGCAGGGACGGTGGGGGCCTTTGGGGGGGACAGCGACAGGGCAGTTGGCACCCTGGATGGAGCAGCACCCTAGACCAGACACTAGCTGGCCTAGTGAGAGAGCCGGCCCTGCTCCCAAACTCCTAGGTTCCGGCACTAGCACCAGTGGTACCCCACCAAAGGTCGGGAGTGGGGTCCCCATCCGCGCACCACCCCGACCCACACACAGGACCTCCGTCTTCGCCGGGTTCAGTTTCAGCTGACTCAGCCTGAGCCAACCAGCCACGGCCTGTAACGCCCAGTCCAGATCTTCAGGACTGGAGTCTGATCGACCGCCCACCATCAGATAGAGCTGGGTGTCATCAGCGTACTGGTGACACCCCAGCCCATAACTCCGGGCTATCTGGGCAAGGGGGCGCATATAGATGTTAAATAGCATTGGGGAGAGCACTGCCCCTTGAGGCACTCCGCACTCTAGCGGGTGTCTCTTGGACAGCTGTTCCCCAAGTGCCACCCTTTGTCCCTGACCTTGGAGAAAGGAAGCAAGCCATTGCAAGGCAAGCCCCTGAACCCCTATGTTGGCGGGGCGGTGAAGCAGCAACCGATGGTCGACCGTGTCGAACGCAGCCAACAGGTCTAACAGCAGCAGTACTGCCGACGCGCCCCGATCAAGATGCCTCCGGAGATCTTCAGTCAGCACACCCAGTGCCGTCTCCGTCCCGTGTTCCGGGCGAAAACCGGACTGGAAGGGATCTAGCATGGAAGTGTCATCCATACAGCCCTGTAACTGTGTCGCCACCGCCCTCTCAATTAGTTTGCCCAAATAGGGCAAATTGGAGATCGGCCAATAATTAGCCAAATCGGCTGGGTCCAGAGATGGCTTTTTTAGGAGCAGGCGGACCATCGCTTCCTTGAGTGCCTCCGGAAACAGCCCCTCCAAGAGGGACTTGTTGATAATACCTATATAATGTTAATCCGTTTGGCAAACACTCTAGTCACATCTCATAGTCACATCTCATAGTCACATCTCATAGTCACATCTCATAGTCACATCTCATAGTCACATCTCATAGTCACATCTCATAGTCACATCTCATAGTCACATCTCATAGTCACATCTCATAGTCACATCTCATAGTCACATCTCATAGTCACATCTCATAGTCACATCTCATAGTCACATCTCATAGTCACATCTCATAGTCACATCTCATAGTCACATCTCATAGTCACATCTCATAGTCACATCTCATAGTCACATCTCATAGTCACATCTCATAGTCACATCTCATAGTCACATCTCATAGTCACATCTCATAGTCACATCTCATAGTCACATCTCATAGTCACATCTCATAGTCACATCTCATAGTCACATCTCATAGTCACATCTCATAGTCACATCTCATAGTCACATCTCATAGTCACATCTCATAGTCACATCTCATAGTCACATCTCATAGTCACATCTCATAGTCACATCTCATAGTCACATCTCATAGTCACATCTCATAGTCACATCTATCAAATCCATTAGTGTGATGGATTAATCCAAATGGATTAACATTATAGAGGTATTTCAACGCTACCCACTTTGATAACCGGAGCTTCGGTGGCTCAAGTGGTTAAGACGCTGAACTGCAGGCTGTGGAAGGTCAGTAGTTCAGTAGTTCGAGACCCGGGTGCCGCAAGATGGGGTGAGCTAGTTCCAGCTCTTGCCAACCTAGCAGTTTGAAAGCAAGAAATTGCAAGTAGATAAATGGGTTCCTGCTCACCTCTTGCCTTGAAAGCCCCATGGTCCTGGAATCACCAGGAGTTTGGTGGCAACTTGACATCATACAGTTATTACACCAATTGCAGCAAGGCTGGGGTTAAATTTCTGAAATAATTTGTATTTTCATGTATTTCTAAGCGAGGAATGCGTCCTTGACTATAACCTGTGCATCCAGCAGTATTTGTGTACTGGGGGGGGGGCAGCTGTGACCTTTCTTAGGCAATTGCACCAAGGGGGCTTCTGCCCCGCCTACCCCAGGGCTTGGGGAGCACCCACCTGCTAATGACTCTCTTCTGGTACAGGAGCAGGGCCCATTCACACAACCAAGGGCTGCCAGCTTCGAACCAGTCCTGGCCCTTGAGCAAGGAGGAGGTGCAGGCGGCTCCGTGGAGATCACAGGACGAACCGCATTCACCCAGGTAGGAGAGCAGCAGGCCGGAGCCGGAGCCTTTGCTCACGGCAAAGAGCATGGCAGTTGGGTGCCGGAAGCGGATGTACGCCACTGCTTCCTTCAGGTCGGATGGGTCCCCGAAGGGCTGCAGCCTCGCGCTGGTCAGCGGGCAGCCATTGTGGCCATGCCTGTTGAAGATGACTGGGTAGTAGCCTTTCTCCAGGGCCAGCTGGCACAGCTGGCAGATGTTTCTGGTGATCTTGCCAGTGGCACTGGGCACAACCAGGAGGACTGTGGACTCCGCTGCGCTAGGCCCTTTCCCGCTTTCGCCCCACGGCCCTATGACCCAGTCCAAGGCGACGAGGCCGTTGTCTGCCACTTGGAGATGGTCTCTGGCAAATTCCAGCGGGTGGTCAGGGGGCCACAGGAGCTGCGTGGCGGTCTGCAAGTACGGCCACGTCTTCCAGCACCATTGCCAGGCCTCCAGGTCAGGGGACTTGCCGAGGCTCTTGAGCAAAGCCAGGGCCAGAGCAGAGGGCTTGAAGATCCACTGGCAGTCCCCGACAAGAGACTGCTTGTTCCCTTTCCCCCTCGGGCTGTGCTCCTTCACTTCCTCCCCCGTGGTCCACTGCCACCATCCCTGGCTAGTAACGATGCGCTGACGTCTCCCAAGCCAGCAGGCCAGCAGGCCAAGGATCGCTAGCCCCACTGCCCAAACCGCCATCCGACCTGCTGCTTTGGGTTCCTCCACAGCTGGGCGCCTCGTGGGAACTCATGGAGGGCTGAGTCCTCCACAGTCTGGTTACTTACTTAGCAAATCATTTATTTGTCTCTGCGCTGAAGGGAGGGGAGGGGAGTCTTTTAAGGGTTTAACCCTTCTGCTTTCGAAGCCGTTGGCCCTCCACGCTTGAGGGACAGATGGGAGCTTATGGTGAAGGGGACGGCATCTTGTGTTTTCCTGTGTTCGGCCAGAAGCTGTGGTTTTCTTTGCCCCTCCCATCCTATGGGAACAAGCAGCTCTTTGGAGTACAAGGTGAGGGTACCCAGTCTGAGTGAGCTCTCCTCTCATGTGTGCCTGCAAAGTCTGGATGAAACCATCCTCACACACGAAACAGTTCCTTGAATGGCATTTCATAGAAGTCCAGAATTTGTACAGGATGGAGTGACATACATTCAACTCACGCAAATCTATGCTACCAGAAGTATTGGTGGACTTTAATTGGCTATATCTGAGGCCTATCATATACAACAATAATATACATATGAATATATAAGGATACAACATCTGGCCTTATATTGCATATGTAAACATCTGATGTTAAAAAAACCTTTTTTGAATGTATGTCGAGTTTGTATTTTGGATTGTGACCACTGAGGAAGGCCCTTTGGGGCCGAAACGCGTTTGGTTCAGTTGCACAGCACTAACCCATCTATGTATGTATGTTGAAAGATTTTTCATGTCTGAATGTGAATATTTTTAATGAGTCTAAGTTTTTTAAAAATGTGTACACCTGAATAAATTTTGTATGTTTATAATATTTAGTGTCAGCTTAACCCTTGTGGATTCATTTCATAGAAGTAAAACATCATATCTAAGAAGTAAAGTTCAGTTTCTGGATAAGATACAATTTCCAATAAAATACCCTGCACTGAGCATTTACAAAATTTTACTGCGTATAGAAGCAGCAGCCAGTCAGAATTTTGCCACCGTTTCAATTATGTTTTCCTCAGTGCCATTTAACAAAAATGATAGTTTGTTCAGCCTAGGGAAACCTGAGACACTGCCTAAAATTGGTGATAAAATAGGTTGCCGAATATCAGAATAATAGCAACATTCAAACAGCACATGGTACACTGTTTCAATAGTTTTGCCTGTACAAGAGCAAAACCTATTGGCATAGGGAATACCCTGAAATCTTCCAAATAAAATTGCCGAGGGTAAAACATTTAGCCTGGCCAGTGAAAAAATGCTGCGCAATTTTGGAGATTGCAGTTGGAAAAAATACGTGGGCAGGCATCCTACAGTGGGGAATAGCCCATGTTTTAGGGGGGAACAAGCCTTATTGGCTGCGTTATACAAGTTCCACGACTCCAATAAGCTGCTCTTTATTTTGTGAAGCACCTACGTGAAACCATCCTCTCTACATTAATATTTTGCTTAGCCCCGTTCCCTTGGGGGGGGGGGGGTGAACAGGATGCAGAGGCAAGCGCTTGGGAAGAAACGAATGCCACGATACGGGGAAGCTGTGTTAGGCCGTAGGTGCGAAATCAAACAGGAGTCCAGTGGCATCTTAGACTTACAGTATTTACGCCTGCAGAAGATTTCCTGAGTCAGAATTCACTATGCAGTGGGTTTGAAGAAGGCATCCATTAGTGCGTGCATGTGTGTAAAACACCATCAAGTCACAGCTGACTAATGGCAACCCCATAGGTTTTCAGGGCAAGAGATGTTTAGAGGTGGTTTCCCATTGCCTGCTAACAACCAAAACAACCCTGGTATTATGCACTGAGCCAGTTGCCTTGCAACACCATGCTGCCGGAGACAGGGTGAGCTTGGGGAGGAAATACAATAGAACAGTGATAGCGAACCTTTTAGAGACCGAGTGCCCAAACTGCGACCCAGAACCCACTTATTTATCGCAAAGTGCCAACACGGCCATTTAACCTGAATACTGAGGTTTTACTTTAGAAAAAAACAACTCATACATTCACTTAAGATGATCCAAACAAAGTAAGGAAAGCAATCCCAAATGCTTTCATTGACTTAAAATTATTTGGCAGAGAATTCGACAGTTTAATGATGGTCTGGGCCTGGCTGGGGCGATGGCACGCGTGCCCACAGAGAGGGCTCTGAGTGCCACCTCTGGCACCCATGCCATAGGTTCGCCAACACTGCAATAGAACATCAGGATCTTGGCAGCCACCAATTAGGATGCAATGTTGTGTAAATAGCCTATTGTTGGGAGTGGGGGTGTGATGGGTGTGTCGATCTACGGGCTTACAAGGAGGGCTTCGGCCCTGCTAGAGTCGTCTTCTGTTCTGCTGAAATCACTTAATAAACTATGAGCTGATCACGACACGCGTCTCGAACCCAGTGTCTTTCGCTGGCGACGAAGGTGGGATCCTGTTGAGCCGGCCCAGCATCTCCAGCACCGCACCGCGCTGGCGTGACTTTGGGTCAGTCATGGCTCTCTCAGAGCTGTTCTCTCAAGGGCAGTTCTCGAAAGAGCTCTCTCCCCCCCACCTACCTCACAGGCAATGCTCCCTCTAAGCTGTGGAGTCTTGTGAGCAAACATTCTACTGGCATTAAAGTCGTGAGCGAGTGACTTGGCTGCTGCATAGATTAGTTTGCTCTGGAGCCCTCCTTCCTGAGCTAAGATAAAAATGGGTGAGCCAAAGGCTAAAAAACCATAAGCTAGCTCACACTAACTCAGCTTAGAGGGAACACTGCTCACAGGGTGTCTGTTGTGGGGAGGGGGAGGGAAAGGAGACTGTAACACTCTGAGACTCTTTCGGGTAGTGAAGGGCCATAGGGTATAAATCCAATCTCCTCCTCCTCCTCCTTCTAAACGTAAGGCGCAGGCTCGGTGGAGCCGAATGAGGACGCAGCCGAGCCGGAACTGATGTGGACCGCGCGCCAAGAAAAGCCTCCGTACTAAGAAGACCTGCCTGACACCAGGAGAAATGCCGAACAATCTGGACCACCGGAGAAAACTGAAGCCTGAGCCAGAAACAGCACAGCTAACCCGCCAATTGGGCGCCGGTAGGGAATCCCCACCCCTATACTATATATGTGGCCGTAGATGGGGATTATAATGTGCACTTGCACCCTGCCTGTAAACCGCTCTGAGACCTTCGGGTCAGAGCGGTATATAAACCAAAATAATAAATATATAAATAAATAAATAAATAAATAAATAAATAAACCCTGCTTAGTTCCCAAGATCTGGCCAGATGTTAGCCTGGGCCATCCAGGTCAGGGATGCATTACCACTTAAAGCGATGTGCATCTGATGAAGTGAGCTCTAACTCAGGAAAGCGTTTGCTGGAATACACTTTGTTAGCCTTAAAGGTGCCACCGGACTCTGGTTTGGGGAAGAAGCTGGAATCGTCTCAGCCATCAGACCTGCTGGGGAGAGGAGGGGGAGCAGCTGCAAGAAAGGTTATTGAAATAGTTGAAAGCCTCCTGTGAGCTCATAGCATCCTTCCCAGCTGATGGTTGCCTGCTACGTCTCTGAAAGAGTCTCTGCTCTGGGCCAGCCTCCTGCCAGGTGGAAGACCTGCTCAGAGCAGTGACTCATGCCAGGGCTTGCGACTGGTTTCCTGGACTGGTCAGTGTTCTCTTTCAGAGTAAAAGTAAACCTTAGTAAGGGCAAGTGTGAAACCCGTGTCCAACTGAAATTCAGGTGGGAAAGTGCATTGGCTAGAAGGAGTGCAGTATTCACAAGGCACTTTTAGGGCTGTAGCCTCACAGATTATTTAACACAAATTCAGTCTAGCGGGGTAACCTGCTACAGCCACCTTAAAGCCAAACAGGTTTAGGGTGACAGAAACCAGGGGTCATTTCCTGTGGGAGTGCACAGAAGCGGAGCTCCGGCAGTAAGGAGCCCAGGGGGCGGGCACATGCAACAAGCCCCGCCCCCTGCTCCCAACAGCCCTCAGTTGGGCCATGAGGAGCAAGAAGCAAAGTAAGTTACAGAGCCCCCCCCCC